TGTGAGTTTGAGCCCCACTTTGGGTGTAGAGATTGCTTAAAAATAAAATACTAAAAAAAGAGAAATTCCACTTAGGTCCTTTTTTTTTTTTTTTTTAAAGATTTATTTGAGAGGAAGAGAGAGCATGAGACCATGAGTTGGGGGGAGGGGCAGAAGGAGAGAATCTCAAGCATACTCCTCACTGAGTCCAGAGTCCCGACATGCTGCTCAATGTGGGGCTCAATCCCACCATCCAGGAAATCATGACCTGAGCCTAAACCAAGAGTCGGTAGCTTAACTGACTGAGCCACTCAGGCGCCCCTCTACTTAGATCTTGATGAAGGCAGTATATTAGACTTTATCTAATTAAAAGTAGGAAATATGGTAGTTTTACAATAATAAAAAAGTTTTTACTATTAATTATACTGATAGTCAACTAGCCTTTCTAGAAATAATATTAAAGTGTACATATTATGTTGTATTCCTTTCTGGATTCAAGGACATCACTATTGCCTAGAATAACAATATGTACAATATTCTAAAAGAAAATATGAAAGCTTAATCTAAAATTTTGAATATTCTTATAAGATCCTATAGAATAAATATGAATACTTATGCTTATGTATCATTTATATTAATGTTTCTAGCTTTTAGTACTTTATCATTTACGGTTTTCTCATTTTCTTTCAGATACAGGCATAGACCACCATGCTCTTCTAAAACAATTTGATCACCTAAACCACCTGAATCCTGACAAGTTTGAATCTACAGATTTAGATATGCTCATCAAAGCGGTGAGAATAATTCTAAAAAATGTTGTCATTGTTGTGCCTTTGAGGTTCTGTCATTTGATAAGTAAATTCAATGAAGTGGTAATATAACATTTAGACACTCTCAAGAATATTTTTAAAGGGAGATAGCTTAACCTTTATTACTACAGATAATAATATGACCATAACGGTCTGTAACCCCTTGCCCACAATTCCAAAATCCAAAGCACTATAAAAGCTGAAATCTGGCTTCAGTTATAGTAAGGCTATTTGTAGTTTTTATTTAGCCTACATAATGTGAATATTCATAGACTTTGCTGAGGAAGTACTAATCTGTTTGATTATAGACTCTGCAAGGATATTACACAATATGGCATAAATGCCATATTCTTTTTCTGAAAACTAGAAAATTCTTTTTTTTTTAATTTTATTTTATTTTATTTTTAAATTTTATTTATTTATTTGAGAGAGAGAATGAGAGAGAGAGAGTACGTGAGACGGGGGGAAGGTCAGAGGGAGAAGCAGACTCCCTGCTGAGCAGGGAGCCCGATGCGGGACTCGATCCTGGGACTCCAGGATCATGACCTGAGCCGAAGGCAGTTGCTTAACCAACTGAGCCACCCAGGCGCCCGAAAACTAGAAAATTCTGAAACATATCTGGGCTCTGGGATTTTAGATAAGAGTTTGTAGGCTTCTCATGTTGTACTGTATGGAGTTACCAAAATGCATGTTGTAGCCTGGGTATGAGTTTAGTTAAGTAGTTAGAAACAATTCTAGTTTTCTATACTGTATAGATTTGATACAGTCCCTTCCTTCTTTTTAAAATCAATTTATATATTACTTACTTATGAAGAACTTTCTAAAGTTGAGGCTTGCTTTGAACTCTGAGTTTCTTTTAATGCCTACATTCTGATAATAATAATAATGACTAAAATAAAATGGCAGAGTTTAAAAGAGGAGTCCAATGTTTTCTGGACCTTCTATACTACCTTCTATTAGAATATGCTGTATGCAAGAAAGCCCTTATTTATATTTTCAAATACTCCTTGTTATTTAGTTTAAATATTACATTATAGGCCACAAGTGATCTGGAACACTATGATAAGACTCGACATGAAGAATTTAAAAAATATGAAATGATGAAGGAACATGAAAGAAGAGAATATTTAAAAACACTGAATGAAGAAAAGAGAAAAGAAGAAGAATCTAAATTTGAAGAAATGAGGAAAAAGCATGAAAATCATCCCAAAGTTAATCATCCAGTAAGAATTATGACTTTAAGAAACCATCATTAGATGAAGATACTTCTTTGAGTATCAGATAGAATTTTATCATAAGTTATTAGTACTTTAGAATCTTAATTCTGCATAGTTTCTCAAATTTGTGTTTTATTTTCAGTCTATATACATAGATTATATTTTGTTTTGAGCATTTTTTAAAAATTGATTCACAGGGAAGCAAAGATCAACTAAAAGAGGTATGGGAAGAGACTGATGGATTGGATCCTAATGACTTTGACCCCAAGACATTTTTCAAATTACATGGTAACAGATTTGATACAAATATTAATATTTATGTCTGCTGTTTGAAAGATTATAGTTGCTTTATTCTTAACTGGTTTTTGTCAAGGTCTGCTATTGAGTCCTATTGACAGTAAATGTTTAGAATTTTTCTCTAGGGTAATAGAATAGTCTTTATTGCTGACCTGCAGCATAAAATACTTTGTCAGTAGCTGTGTGTTTTACCTGCTTTAACTGTTGACTCATTACGGCTTACTGTAAGGTTCTCTGTAAACTGAAGGTATTTCTGTGACTAGCTAGGTTATATCTAGCACACTTTATGCTATAATATTAAAATTTACTTTTTTCCCTATAGCGTATTGTTTCACTTTATATTTTTGAAAAAACTGGTTAAGATATATTTTTCTTAAAAAAAACCTAGTATGAATTATAAATTAGTAGTAAATTGTTATCAGTTGGACTGATGTGAGGCTTCATAAAAAAGGAGGAAACATCTTTATGTAGCACATGGATGCTTCATGTTAGTATCACTTCTGAAAGGCAGTTGTGAAGAGTTGTAATTTATTTATTGATTTTCGAAGGCATTAAAATAAATTTTTGCATTTGTGACTTTTTAAACTTCAGATGTCAATAATGATGGCTTTCTGGATGAACAAGAATTAGAAGCCCTATTTACTAAAGAGGTAAATGCGTTCATTTAAGTGTTCAGCATTTTTGCTTTCTTTTTTCCTTCTATTATTTTCCTTCCTTTTATGTTGGTTTTAAACTTTTCTTTTTAGTTGGAGAAAGTATATGACCCCAAAAATGAGGAGGATGATATGGTAGAAATGGAGGAAGAACGGCTTAGAATGAGGGAACATGTAATGAATGAGGTATGTTTTAAAATTTTAAGAATATATGTTATTTCAATGGATTATTCAAGTTCTTGCAATAAATCTTACTGTAAAGTGGAAAATAAATACACAAAGTAGTTATTTAATTGAATTTTGCATTTTTTGATCCAGAATATTTGGTAGACTCCCTTAGTGTAGATAAAATTATTTTGTAACTACTTTAAAATATTTTAAAATTTAAAAGGTTTTTATTTAAGAGATTAAGATGCTGTTGCATGTCTTTTAGAAATAAAAGATAATGTAGTCCAAGATTTGATGTTTTAAAAGGCTGTGTTTTTATTAAGAAAATACAAAAAATCTAATACCGTAATGGTTTATAACAACGTATTTAGTTCTTGTTGACATTATTAAGCTGAGAACTTTGGTCATAGACATCAGAGGCCAGTAACTAACACCCACTGTTTTGCATCAGTGATTTTCACCTGATATTTGAGCTATTGGTGTTGAATTGGGATTTCTGGTGACTGCTGGCATCCCAAGTGTCAAATGAATTTCTTTGGCCATTATGGAGTTCACTTTTGCAACTGGATGGCTGTAACAGCCACTGAAGAGGATTGGGAGTGGTTGTCAACTTTAATTTTGATTTATTAGTTGTTTTTAAGAAAGAATGTTGAGAGCATTTTAATGTAAACTCCTTTACTGTTGGCTAACACAGTCCTCTTTCTGGAAAGGTTATTTTTCTTGGGATTTTACATGGTGTGGTGAGGGAGGAAGACCATAATAGCCTAACCAGTCAGATCAGCAGACTCAAGCGTGATGATCTTTGAGCATCAGAAGTATAAATATCTCACTGTATTTTCAAATCTGAATAATACAGAAGATAGCAGTATCTATTTTCTGATTCTACTATAATGTTGAGTGTTCTGGTTTTTTTCCTTCCAACCTTCCACCCCTGTTTCTGTGGATGTTAGGCTAGCCTTAATTGCTGTATATTTGTGTAGTAGCATCTACACAAATATACAGCAATTGTCTAGAAGACAATTTCTAGTAATATGAGAGTTATTATATTTTACATATACATTTTTTTTTAATCAGGTTGATGCTAACAAAGACCGATTAGTGACTCTAGACGAGTTTTTGAAAGCTACAGAAAAAAAGGAATTCTTGGAGCCAGATAGCTGGGAGGTAATAAAACCTACTTGAAATGGGATGTATGGTTCAAGAAATTCTATATCAATCATTCTACTTTTAACTTTTATTTCCCATTATGTTTGCATGTAGAGCCTTACTGTCTTGGCTTTTCAATAAAACGTCACTATAAAATAATGAACTTGATTTTTTGGAAAGCTTGTGTCAATTCACCTCTTATTTGTAATCATGTTACATATAATTAGAAGTCTTTTTAAAGTTTTATTTTTTCTAGTGTTCATTCTTGAAAATTAGAAATATAGATACATTTAAAGAATAAATTAGAAGTTACCTATAATTCTACCATCCAGAGGTAGACACTTAATTTATGCATTGTATTATGACAATTTGGAAATAGTTTGTATCTTTAGTATATGCATATATAGCACACAATATAGAGTGTACTGTCCCATTTTTATTTTATTTATTTATTTATGAGAGAGCGAGAGCAAATGAGGGGGAGGGGCTGAAGGAGAGGGAGAGAATCTTGAGCAGGCTCCATGCCCAGCGTGGAGTCTGATGTGGAGCTCAATCTTACCACCCCGAGATCATGACCTGAGCCAAAATCAAGAGCCAGGTGTTCAACCGACTAAGTCACCCAGGCACCCCTGTCCCATTTTTAATTTACATATACACATAAACTCCTATCTCTCTATGTATATTTTTAAAGATTTTATGTATTTTATGTATTTATTTGAGAGAGAGTGCGAGAGCTTGAGCAGTGGGAGGGGCAGAGGGAGAGGCAGAGGGACAAGCAGACTCCCTGCTGAGCTCAGAGCCCGACGCAACTCAATCCCAGGACCCTGAGACTATGACCTGAGCTGAAGTCAGAGGCTTACCGGATTGAGCCACCCAGGCACCCCATCCTGTCTATATAGTCTTAAAATGGCTTCATACTGTATAAATGTCTTTGTATGTTTGGGAAATTTTGTGTTTTTTAATGTTAACAATATTTCATGATGCCATTCCTCAAAAAACAGAGTTTAGAAATGACTCCTTAGCATGCAGTTGTGTGATTATAGCATAATTTATATAACCATTGGAACAGATTTAATCATTTGGGTCAATTCCAATTTTTTTACTGTAGTGATTAAATACTGTGATGACTCTCTACTTGTTCATACATATTTGAGCATCTGTAATAATTTCCCTGGGATTAATTCCTAAGAATAGAACTATTCTCAAGGTTTATGACCATTTTTAGTTTCTAAATATGTCTTGTCAAATTGCTCCAGAAAGGCATACCAATTTATTCCATAGTTTACTGTGCATACACATTTTTAAAAGAATAGTTGAGAGGTAGCAACCAGAAGAGATTGAAAAAAAAATTGTCATTTTCTATACAAAATCTAAAAGATTACCATTTCAATTAGATTTTTAATTGTCTAGAAAATAGTTTGAGATAGGGTGACCCAACTGTCCTGGTGTAGCTTGGACTGAGGAGTTTCCTGGGATGTGGGAGTTTTTAGTGCTGAAACGAGGACAGTCCCAGGATGACAGTTTATCATCTTAGTTCGAGATTAAAGAAATCAGCTTTTTTTGTCATGTTTTTTTCTAATATTTATAATATTTCTGGACTTTGGTAAAGAAGAAGAAGAACGCTCAGATATTTGAACATGCATTCCCGTTATTGCTTCTGGTGAACTAGAGCAATAGATAATTACATACTTTTTCTCATTTTAACATAATTTTAGATTTACAAAAGAGTTATAAGAATAGACAAGGAATTCCTGAATACCCTTCCTCAAGATTTCCCATTTTACTACAGTTATTCTCTTTATCTCTTTCTCTGTTTTTAATCTGTGCATATGTGTATTTATATATAACACATAATTTTTTTGAGAGTAAGTTGCACATGGTGCTGCTTTAACCTTAAATACTTGAGTGTGTATTTTTTGCAAACAAGGATTTATCTTGCATAACCACAGTAAAATTATCTATGGCTACACACAAAAAACTCTTTTCCAGTCTCTAGACTTTATTGAGATTTTTGTTAATTTTCCTAATACTGTCCTTTATAGCAAAAGAAAATCCAGAATCATATACTGAATTTAGTTGTAATGTCTTCCTAATCTCCTTTAATCTGAAACAGTTCATGAGTCTTTGTATCTCATGGCGTTCATATTTCTAAAGAGTACAGACCAGTAATTTTGTAGAATTTCCTTCAGTTTGAGTCAGTCTGCTGTTTCTTTCGGATTTCTGGTTTTGGTAGGAATACCACCAAAGTGATGCTAAGTGCATCATATCATGAAGCATATGCTGCTGATTAATTTCATAACTGGCAATGTTAATTTTGATTATTTGGTTAAGATACTGTCTACCAGGTTTCCTCACTATTTTGTCTTTTGTAACTTAAACTCTACCATACTGCCAGAATCAGAAGTCAGCATTTAAAATAAATCACTTGACATCATATCAAAAGTATTTCCAAATATTAATTGTAAGCATAACTTTAATAGTTATGGAAGTGCTTAACTGTTTTCTCAGGGCCAGACACCCATTCTTTTACTGTTTATTTTAAAAAGATAGTGCTGCTATAAACACATTTTTATATAAAGCTTATTATGTGTTTAGGGTTATTTTATAGGATGGATTCTCAATGTAGCACTACCAAGACCAAGGGAATCTTTTTAGGGCAGTTGATATATTTTGTAAAAGTATTTTTCAAAAGAATTGTACCAATTTACCCTACCATCATTACCACTGTTTTGTTTTTTTTTTTAAAGAGTCTTTGAGGGTATACTTTGAGATTCATTATCTACTAATTTTAGCATCCTTGATGATTCTAGCCAGAATCAGTTATTACAATGACTATTGACAAATGGTGATTTTCTAATCATCATTCCTTCTACATTTATTAGTTGGCTTTCTGCAGTAAGGAAAAGCTATCCCTTCCCCCATTTCTGTTTGTTTGAGTGTAGATTCATGGCTTATTTTATTCAATAAGCTTGAATCCTTACTATCACTACTTATTTTGATGCCCATATTGCTCCAGATTTGGCTAGTGGGAGTTTCTTCAAACTGACTTTTGTATCCTTTTGGCATGTTACCTATCATTCTTTGAGGACTTCCTTACTTATTAGCATAATAAGATGATGTTCAAGGCTCATCTTGTTCCTTCTCCATCCCACCTCTGGAATCAGCTATTTTTCTGAGGAGCACTGGTCCCTTTTAGTGGAGATCGTTATCACAGACTGGGATCTGGGCACTGGATGTGTTCCTTGCTACCAGAGAATCTTTGCTTCTAGGATTTGTCAGATAATAAAGTTGGGTAATTTAAAAAACATTTAAGTGGGGGCGCCTGGGTGGCTCAGTCGTTAAGCGTCTGCCTTCGGCTCAGGTCATGATCCCAGTGTCTTGGGATCGAGCCCCGCATCGGGCTCCCCCGCTCGGCGGGAAGCCTGCTTCTCCCTCTCCCACTCCCCCTGCTTGTGTTCCCTCTCTCGCTGTGTCTCTCTGTCAAATAAATAAATAAAATCTTTAAAAAAAAAAAAAATGTAAGTGTGTGTGTGTATATTTATATATATATTTATATTTGTATTATGTCTATCTGTATATGCACGTATTATACACATACACAGATACACTTACATTCATATTCATCCTGGTATATTTAGGTATCAGTATATATTAAAACTTAATGAGCTCACTGGGGCTCCTGGGTGGCTCAGTCGGTTAGGCATCTGCCTTTGACTCAGGTCATGATCCCAGGGTCCTGGGACAGAGCCCAGTGTGGGGCTCCCTGCTCAGTGTGGAGTCTGCTTCTCCCTCTCCCTTTGCCCCTCCCCCACTCATGCTTGCTCTCTCTCTCAAGTAAATAATAAAATCTTAAAAAAAACAAAACACAAACTTAATGAGTTCACACTGCTACCTCCTGAAATTTCAGTCCAATGCCTCCAATTCCAGTACAACATCCTATTTCTTCCTCTTTCCATATTTCATATGAAACCTGGCTCCTATTTTCCACAATATTATTCCACTTATTTCCTCAATCCTAGGATGTTCAGAGTGTTTTAGATTGCTAAACTCTGCAAAAAAGAATTTATTATTTGTTTAGATTTTTGTTGTTGTTTTTAACCTGAGCATATAGTCTGAATACTCTGATCCAAAGTTTCTTGATTAGTTCTTTTTCCCCCTTCTGTTTTATTCACTTAAAATAAAAGTATAATTTATTTTCTTCTGTTTATAGTCAATTTGGGTTTTCCTGTCCTTGTGGATTTTCTTTCTTCTCTTTTCTTGAGTATATGAAACACTGACAAGTTTGTAAAAATCAAACCTGTACGAAAAAGGTGTATTCAGAGAAGTGTGATTTCTTTTCCTGCATTCTCTCTGTCCTTTCTACCCAGTTCTCTTCATTGTTCTGTAGGTAACCCATTTCATTAGCCTTGGATTTTTCCTTTTGCTCAAATAAATATGTAAATATATATTTTCTTATTTCCCCTTTCTTACCAAAAATGTATATTACTGTAGATGCTCTTGTACTTTACGAATCATAGAATTTTAAAAGCTGAATCAAACCTTGTTGTATAGCCAAGATTATTCTTTCCTCAATTTTTTTCCTTTTAGACACTGGATCAGCAACAGCTCTTCACAGAGGAAGAACTGAAAGAATATGAAAATCTTATCTCTTTACAAGAAAGTGAACTTAAGAAAAAGGCAGATGAACTTCAGAAACAAAAGGAAGAGCTACAGCGTCAGCATGATCAACTTGAGGCTCAGAAGCTGGAATATCATCAGGTGGTATTTATAAAATGATTGTGGCATTAAAAAGAATTTTAGGTGTTTTGGTAAAAGTGTGTGATTTTTGTAATATAATATTTCAATGTCCGATTAGCTATAGTATTTTAAATTTTAGTATTTTAAAAACTGTTGAATATTAATCTAAGTTTTAGAGTCTGAATATCTCATTTTGGGAAACAATTTTCAATTAGTTTGTTGTGATTTGTCAAAGGTCATGAGAAAATAAAAGAATACTTACTTTTAAGACATTCTTTTTCAATGCACTAGGTTGTACAGCAGATGGAACAAAAAAAATTACAACAAGAATTTCCTCCATCGGGGCCTGGTGGAGAATTGAAGTTCCAGCCACGTATGTAACTTTATTTTTTTTGTTTAAGGAAATAAAAAAATTGAATAAATTGAAATCTATGTTTATTACAAATGTAATTTCAAATCATTAATATCTGTGGTATTTACTATATATTTGTGGAAATAGTGCAACTTGTACTACAGAAAAATGTAGTACAGAAAAACATACAGAAACAAGCCTTCTAAAATGTCTATGCATTAGCATATTTCAAAAGCTATATAATTTGATAGCTATATTTATGGTGAAATGATTTATTTCAACATTATTCACAATTCTTTCTAATCAGTTATTGATATTGTCAGAGAACATGGTTTCTTAATTGTAATCTATGATTAGCTAAACGTATTTTAAAAATGCTTTATATTTATATTTACATATATATATGTATATGGAGATTCAGAATAAAGGGAGATACCTTTAAAATGAGAGCATTTTTTTTTCAAACAGACATTTAAAGTCCGAAGTCCACCAGAACTTGGAAGAAAATTGTTAAATCAACATCTGTGTCATCTTTTTACCACCCTTCCTTTTTTTCTGCTCAATAAATATTTTAAAGCATATATGGAATAAAGGAAGATACTTTTTAAATGAGAACACATCTTTTCAGGACACAGATATTTAAGGATTGAAGTCCACCACAACCAGGAAAAATACAAACTCAGTAACTGCTCTCACTTTCATACCTCTCTTCTTTTTAATTTGTTCTCCTTTAATGATTCAATTAAGTGGCCATAATTATGCCATAATTTAATGAAACTATCAGTGACTGTTTAAGTGAGGAAGTTCTGTATTGCTTTTAAAGTAAATTTATATTGTTGTCACTTACTCATAAAGATAGTCTTTTATAGGTGCTTATCAGTCCCTCTCTCGATAAAAGTCTCTTTGATGTTAATAATTCTTCTGAGAAGATCGCACTTTCCCCCAGTGTTTCCTGGTAACTTCTTCCTACTTCCAGAAACCTTACCTGCTGGAAATTCTTCTACTGAATAGCTTTTGCTACCATTTCAGGTCATTTTTTGGTTCATATTTTTGCTTTCTACTGTATTACTTAAGATCAGGTTCTGCTACAAAAAACCAGAAAAACCAAAGATAACAGTGTTTTAAACTAAATAGGAATTCTTCCCTCTTCCATAAAGGAAATCTGTAGGTAGGTGGTGTCCAGGTTCCTGCCTCTCTGTTCTGCTCTCCTCAGTGCATGGTTTTTATCCTCAAGTTACCTCATTCTCACTGTCCAAGATTGCTTTTGGAGGCATTGGGCAAGAGGAGGAAAAGGAAGTTCCCCCCCCAAGTTGCATCAGCTTACTGGATTCAGTGTTCCTGGAGAACCACACATTTTAACTTATATCTCATTGGTCATGTAGCTGCTAGGGAAGCTGAGAAATCCATGTGGCATTGGGACCAGCTAAAAGTTAGGATCTTTAACTAAAGGTGAAGGAGGTCGTGTTTGGTAGGCAACTTTCAGTTTTAACCCAGACAACTTTATTGGCTACCTATATATCTGTGTACACTCTTCTGAAACATAGAAAACAGTCACTTGCTCTGCCCCAAAAGGAAATCTCCCACATCCAATCCATTATTGCATGTAGCTCAAAGACCGTTATACCCTTGTATAGTCCTCTCTGTCAGGTTAGGATGCGGCACCTAATGTTCTGGCCAACTACAAACTAAAAAACAAGATGTTTGCCTCATGAGTACCAAATGCATAATGGTGGGATAGGTACAGGGAACTGCAATAAAATCGACCTTTCAGAAGAGGGGAAAATAGCAGTCACTGATCCATAACACTTAAAAGGCACTGCTTGGCAAAAATAGCAAGGTCTCTCTGCCCTGTATATAAATATGTTCCTTGGTTTTCATATCAGGCAACCCCTGATTTCACTTTTGTGGGAGGAACTCCCTTGTTGAATGTCCTCAGGGGCCCTTGGCGCTGCCTTCTAGCAAGTTTTTATTGTCCATTAATTTTCAAGGACACATTTGCGTGGGCATTGGAAAGTGTGCTGGTCTTGGGGGCTGGACCCCGTAACTTCCTGTTATGGTGGGTTTAGGGGCTTGGGAATTGGTTTAGATAGTTACAGGCTGTTGCAGGCCAGGTTTAGGGGTGGTTTTTGTTTTGTTTTGTTTTTTGGCAAAAACGTCCCCTAAAAACTTAGTATGTTTTTGGTCTGTCTTTTTCAATTATTACCATGAGTAACCACAAAGATCTCGTCAAGACACAGTTTTTAACAAAGAACATCATCTTTTACTTGCTGGCTTCTGTGCTCTCTCTCTCTCCCCTTGGGTCTTAAATGAATGGTACCTACTTGGGACCATTTTAAATTGTAGGCTTGGATGGGATGGCAACAAACCCAGTCTGATCTCTTTCCTTAGGATGGCTCCCATTACTTGGCAGAAAATTCTTAAGAAAGGTTGAGGCAGAAAAAGGAAAGGCAGAAAAAAGGTTGAGGAAGCTTTAGCAGCTTCCTTAGAACATTTACTTATAACTGTTTCAGTTTGGAGTAGTAGCTGACTTTTCCAATTTTTCAGGGCTCCAGATTTGGGACTTTGTCAATTTATTTTGTAGAGAGCCATTCCCTTGGCAAAGCTATATTCCTTTCCATCTGTGCAGTCTTGTTAACCTTAGCCTGAGTCCCATCTCTCCCGTATGACTTTGCTGAAAGAGGCTAGAAGCAGCCCACATGCTAACATTCTGAAGTTCTACCACTACTTCCTCTGATATCTTAACCTTAGTGGCATGAGGTCTCACTGCCCAAAGCCCTACTCCTCAACCAAGCTAACTCCATATTTAAGGTCCTTTTACTAGTTGTACCTTACTTCTAGCTACCAAATTCTGTCTAGGTCAGGATTCCTGGTTGTAGATAATGGGATCTTCTTTACCTGTTAAACAGAAGGGGCTTGATTAAGGGGTGCTTGATTAAGGGTAACTCACAGAATCTTTGGGAAGGCAGATGAAACAGAAATTAGGATGAGCTTCATAGGAACTCCATCACAAGAGTGGGCTGCCAAAGAAGCTGCTGCTTTTGGAACAATCGAGAAGCTGCCTGCCGGATCAAGATGCCTCCTGCTGGATCAAGGAAGCTGAGAACAGTTGCCAGCTCCAGAACTGTACCACCTCTGCCGTGCTTTGTGTTGGCAAAAGTGGACACCTCGTGTGCTGCCTCTCTCCCCATGTAACCTGGTTCTGAGCAAAAGTCTCAAGTGAGTGCATCTGATTGACTGGACTAATCATATCTGGAAACCTAGCTGCAAGGGAGGTTGGGAAATCCTAGTATTTAACTTTACTACCTCTGTAGTACAGGAAGGCATGTTTAAAGCTGTTGAGTGAGCCAATCTGTCGTAACATCTCATAATTTTACATTGTGTCTCTTCACATTAATAATTTTTAAAACTCTTAGTCCTCATTTTATAAAATTTTTAAATAATCAGAGCATGCTCCAAAGATAGCTTAGATTTTTTTTTTCCTTAAATCATGGATCCCAAAATTAAATGTAGCAATCTGGGAAAGTTCTGCTTACATACAGCTGTAAAAAAAAAATACACACACACAAAAACAAACAAACAAACCACAAAAAAAATCATTCACTAGAGTAATGCTGTGTTTCCTTAGAGATGGAGAAGAATTCCTACCTCTTTTGTTTAAATTGTAGGAAACATTAAAAAATTATCTGGCATATCCTTTTGTTGATGACTCTATCTGTGACAAGAAACTGTGATAAGACAGAGATTCACCCAGGGTAAACTTTTTTATCAAAGTTTTGTTTTGTTTTTTTAAAGATTTATTTATTTATTTTGAGAGAGTGAGAATGAGAGAGAGAGAGAGAGTACATGAGACGGGGGAGGGTTAGAGGGAGAAGCAGGCTCCTCGCCGAGCAGGAAGCCCGATGCGGGACTCGATCCTGGGATTCCAGGATCATGACC